TTTTTTTTTTCTTTTCTTTTTTTCTAAATTGGAGCAATAACGATATTTTGAGGCTTGGATTTTCGTTACTATGGGGTGCATGAGGTTGTGTATTGTGAGGAAGTTTTGGTAGGAAAGGCTGGGTTCCACTTAGTGTAACTTTCATCTGGTAAGGTAAATGCTTTGGTGCCAAAATTAATTGCAAATTTAAGTTTTCTAGTACAAGAGAGTGTTTTCAAACGACTGAATCTTTCAGCATTGCGAAGTATCCTGAGGTTGTCGCTGAAGTACAGTAAGGTGAATTTTCCATTTTCCTTACTCTACGCGTGCAATATTTCCCTATCGGGTGAGCTGCCTTTGGAGCCCGATCACAGAAGGGCTTTCAGGTGAAGGGGAGGAACAGACACCAGGTACAGAGAAAACCTCCGGCACCCCAAATTTAAAAAAATGTATTTCCTAACCTTAAACACAGAAGAATCACAAATAATGGACTCTATCCTGCACACCACAATCAGAGGACAACGGGGATCACTTATTTAGAAGGGACTTAGGGAGCTGATACCTCTCACAGTGAATTACAAAGGACATTAATTTAAATATAAATAGGTATATCCTTGTACTGTTTACACAATGAGGAAAATCCCCCCCACATAAGAGATCCCCGCAGGGAAACAGATACCTTTAAGCCTCTAGCACTAAGCAGGAAATTAGATTTAGATTGTTTTACTGTTTTTTTAGCTAAGCACTTTCTTACTAAGTACTGCCCCTATCTAGCTCTGAACATAAAACGCTCCAGTTATCAGCAACACTTCATGTTTTATGTTTTTAACTAAAATGGCTTTCAACGTACTAACAGTGAAATTTACTGAACAGTGAGTGAGAAAGTAATCATGCATTTCAAGTTAAGACGTAACGTTTCACTTTGAAGCAATACAGCTCTTTTTCAGCGTAAGTGTGCGGCTCTTAAAAGAGCCTTTGGGTTCTTGTTGAGATGGTCCAGTACGAGCACAAGACTTTAGCCGCCGAAGCCGTACAGAGTGCGGCCCTGGCGCTTGAGCGCGTACACCACGTCCATGGCGGTGACCGTCTTCCTCTTGGCGTGCTCCGTGTAGGTGACGGCGTCGCGGATCACGTTCTCCAGGAACACCTTGAGCACGCCGCGCGTCTCCTCGTAGATGAGCCCCGAGATGCGCTTGACGCCGCCGCGCCGAGCCAGGCGGCGGATGGCCGGCTTGGTGATGCCCTGGATGTTATCGCGCAACACCTTGCGGTGCCGCTTGGCGCCTCCTTTGCCGAGCCCTTTGCCGCCCTTGCCTCGACCGGACATGATGGAACCGCTGCTGCTGCCGCTGCTGCTCTAAGCCACCGGCGCCCCCGCCGCCGCCTTTATTGCTGCGGGTCCGACCTGGTTGAGAACTGCAGAGCGGAGTTGGGGGCGGGGGGTGTTCCCGCCGTTTTCCCTGCGCGCGTCACCGGTGGTGAAACCTCGTTGGCCGCTCCCTCCAGGGTGCTGGTAAGTCCGGCAAGTAAAACAGAGAATAAACCTCCCCCGCTCACAAAATGCCAGCGATGGTCGTGTTATACAGTTCGAAAGCTTTGCCAGCCCTCCCCTCAAATTTGTATAAACCCTTTGCGTTTGTGAGCCTACTGTATTTTGTTGCACTGGCAGGGGTTGGTGTAAATGTTTTCAAATTCCCATAATTTTCATTCTGATATTCGTTAATAGTTTCGGTTATTTTGTATTCAAAGTGATATAAATGCTGTTTCCGAATTTTTAGTGATTTCAGATCTCTTAAAAACTCTAAATAAGTTTTCACAAAATTTAATTTTGTTGGCTTCTTTATTTTGCTTTCTACCTCCCATTTCTTAAACATTCCAATTTCACATTAGCAACTTTTTGTCTGTAAATACATATTGACCAGAAGGTGGAATATAATCTTCTTTATATTATTAAAGTTATATTAGTTTATGACTTCTGCTAATTTTGCTCATTTTGAGTTACTGCAGTGGGGTAATTTTAGGGTTTTTTTTTTACAAAATGACCTTTATTATAACTACACACTGAAATTTCTGCTCCTTGATTAGGAAAAAAAAGTCACTCTGCTTTTCACTATAGATTAAGCTTTTCAATTTCCCTTCCCTTCCCGCACCTTCCCGCACCTTCCCGCACCTTCTATATCAATTCTGGAAACAAAAGATATTCTGAATTATCTGTTGTGTAAGTCAGGAGTAGTCTTTGATTTAGGATGTTCCAAATTTCATCATGTGAAAACATCCTGAACTCGGACAACTGAAATCTTATGGGTAAAAAAAATTATTTTTCTCTTGTCCTTTTATGTATGAAGGGCAAACATAATTTCTATGTACCCTTTTAAAGTGTTAAAGTTTAAAAAAATCATTCATTATATGCTACCAGTATCTCAGGGTTTGAATTTGTGTCAACATTAATAAAAAACAATATTGCCAGACATCATATTTTAAGAATATATATGAATAAAATTCTGGAAATACATTTGTACTTTCAAACTAATGGTTTTGAATTTTATGTAAACATCGAATAAGTTTTCATATTCCTTTTTTTCCACCCACTGGCAGCTGGTGCTTCCTTTCCTCCTCAAAATATTCTCTGTCGCTCTCAAAGGAAGAATAGAAATGCAGTGTGACCTCTGTGAGTGAGACAGGCACAGACCCCTGCTTTGCACTGTGTTCATGCTCTTGTGATCTGCCAGGCTGAATGTGATCATATCTGAGAACACAGATCTCATCTGCAGGAAATAAATAAATTCTTCCCTTGTACCTGAGAACTTTTGATGGACCAGCATATTCCCATGAGAGAGGAGAGCTCGGAGGAGAAGGCCACAACCACAATGAGCTGGAGAAAAACGGCACTGTAAAGAAAACTGCACTTATTTACACATCAGGGAGGCTGAAGAGTTACCATGGTTTTAGACAAGAGAGCTGCACCAGTGAATCATCAGATTTCCTCCGATGATTAACAGAGACCAACGTCTTCCTGAGCAAGCCGGATGAAAATGAGGGGTGGGCAGGATGGGCCGTGTGCATGTGAATCAGCCCAGTGTAACTTGTAAAAACTGGAGAACAAATAAAAAAGTTTGGAGGTAGAAACAGGCTTGAGATGATTTCAACCAACATATTCCTTCGCAGGGACTGGGCAGGGGGGGCAGCATTAATATTGAGCATATAGAGACAAGTAATGAGAATTTCACTTCTGCAGTCATTCAACTGTGTATTGCAAATGCTTTATTATGCTTGGCTGAAATTTCAGTACAGTATCCTGCTAATTACAAATACAATGTAACTTCAAATATGCTCATCAGGAAAATCTGAAATGAAACATTAAACCCTTCTCATGTAATATCTGAAAGAATCTGGATGGAGAGTATTCAACTCCTACAGCATGGTGACGCAATCAGCTGGGACCTGCCTCTACACAGAACTGTAAACCGCACAAGATCTGACTTCTTTGGCAATCCTGAAGCTATTTAATCTACCCCAGTGGTCTTTGTTGTCTGTACCCCAGTGGCCACATACCCCAACTTCAGTTCAGCACATAAGCCATGCAAAAGCTGTGCTTACCAAAATAGAGCAGCCCACATCATTTTGGTAAGAGAATTTTTAAGCACAGAAAGCTCTGATTTTGAGACTGAGGCACATAAGTCAATATTTGCTTGTGTGGATTTACCATTTGGAAGGAATCTTCTGGCAGTAGCATAGGTACAGAAATGGTTTATGCTGTGTGGTAGTTTGGCATTTAGAAAAAAAGTGGAAAACACTTCCAAGCAAAACTCACAAATCTCACAAATTTAGTTTAATGACTGATACACTAATAACTAATTTAGTATTTTCCCTGCCTTT